TCCCCAACCATTTGTTGACTTCTCCTTCTATGTTTCTTATTTTCCTCTCCAGGTCCTGCTTATTTATACTCTCGTACATTATATCATTGATGATTCTCACCAGAAAACTCATGAAATCTTCACCTGGTGTTTTACCCATTTCAATATCTTCAAGTTTAGTAGTTGTAAGGATTGTGATCTTTTATTTTGCTCCCCCACCCCCACCCCATGTTTCTTGTAGATTTTATACTGAAATTTATGCATAGTTGGCTTGATATCTCTTCTGGTTTATTCTTATTAAGATACTTATTTCTCTTTCTTGTTTTATTTAATTTTATTCATTGTATTTTTGAGACAGTCTGTGTAGCCCAAGCTGGCCTTCACCTTGCTATGTGGCTATGATGACCTTGAACTCTTTTCTGCTCCTCCTACCCTCTTTTCCTATACCTCTTGGGCCCAGGGAGTACAGACATTCCCAATTACTCCTGGTTTTAAGCAGTGCTAGGGATCAAATCCAGGGCTTTGTGTATTCTAGGCAAGAACTCTACCAACTGAGCTATATGCCCAGGCTCCTTAAATTTTGACTATTTAGGAAATACTAGCAATTCCCTCCCCCACTTTTTTCTTTTGTGGTACTGGGGAATCTAACCCTGGGACTTGTGCATATGAGGCAAGCATTCTACCACTGAGCTGTACCTCCAGCCCTGAGTAGGCTTAATTCCTAGTCCTACTTCATACGGAGAAAATAAACTGCTTTTGGAAGTAGTTACTGCTTCTCCTTCCTCTGCTAAGAAACTGAGCAGCTGATGCTACATTGGACTTCTTTTTCTGCTTTGCTTCTTTTTTTTTTTCCTGGTCTTTTCAGGTATCCATTTATTTCCTTTGTTGATTTCCAAACTTTTCTCTCTTTAGAACACATTATCATTTTCTCATTCTGACTTCATCTTTCACTGGTTCATATACAGACAACCTCTATTTCAGTCTTACTCAGAACCACTCTTTTATCAATCTTTTTTCTGGGCAGTTTTTGGCTGTTCCTCACAGGATCAACTGTGGCTGTTTGGCAGGAGCAGGAGAAGCCACACGTCCTGACTCCTTTTATGAAAATGAATCATAAATTCTTTATAAAGTAGATGAATTAGGACATGATACATGTAATTGAAAAGCACCCACACTTTACTTTGGTTGTTCCCTACCTAGCACAATAATGTGTATTACTTCTATATATAATACAATGAGAAACACATGTAATACAAATTGCAAATAATGACAAAATGGGAGTTCTCCTCTATAATGTCATCTATTCAGTTGTTTTCACAAGAGTTATAGAATCTTTCTATGGGTAAGTGTATTGGTTTACTCCTAGATGGCATCTTATAAAATAAGTAGCACAAACTGCAAGAGATATACATGTGAACTTATTACATAAAGTATTTATGCACACATGGAATATCATTTTGGAAACTATTATGCTTCAAGAGGTATATCAGTATTTTAAAAAACCATATTCATAGGCTGGGCATAGTGGCACACACCTTTGAGGGAGAGACGGGCAGATCTCTGTGAGTTCGAGGCCAGCCTGGTCTGCATAGCAAGTTCCAGGCCAGCTGGGGCTACAGAGAGACCCTGACTCAAAAAGATCAAAAAATAAAAATTAAAAAAATAAGTAAAAACCATATTCATTCATTTAGTCTTCATGCTGTAAAACTGGATGGAGGAGTTACCTAGAAGTGATCTTCAAAAGACTACATTTTTGGTAGAGTGTAGTAACACATGCCTGTAATTCCAGGACTCATGAGAACTGCCATGAGTTTGAGTCCAGTTTGTGCTACAAAATAAGTACCAGATCATCCAGTGATGTATAGAAAAACTGGCCTCAAACAAACAACCAAACACACAACCTCTTCATTTTTGTTTCAATACCTGGCAGATAAATAGACCTAAATATAAAAGATCAAGCACCTTATTCAGAATCACTTAAATTGTTACAGTGGCAAATATAAAGCATAAAAAAATCAGGTTTCCTATTTTTATGAGTTGTTCCTGAAATTAATCTATATAATTTTTTGAAGAAAATGAGCACATTTAGAAACAAAGTTTCTATAGTAGTTATTTTTATAAACATCTGCTCTGCTTTGACCCAATTATCTAGTTATCAAACACAACTACGTTATATTTGTAGGATTAAAAACATTTTTCTCATGTAATTGTGTGTAACAATATTTTAAGCATATAAGTTTTAGTAAAATGAATGTAAAGGTATTATCAATCATACCATATACCAAAGTAGAAAGCTCAGCAACTTACTCTTGTTGGTTACAACTGGACGCCAAACCATCAATTCTATCTCTGCATGCAGCATCAACATTTTGAAGATATGCATATACCTAAGTATAATCAATGCTGTTCCCTGCACCATATATATATGCTTTTAAGTTTAAGAACTAAAGAATGCTTTGAAGTTTAAGAACTTCAAAAACTTGTATATACAAACATTTTTTAGTTTTAAATGCTGAATTTTAAATTTCATGTTGCTTTAGAAAAAAAGCTGATGTTTCTCTTCAATGATTTATACAATATCAAAAGAATTATTGAAAATATTATAAACTTACTTTTAATGTATATTTTTATTGGACTTTTGTGCATTTCATACAAAATATCTTAATCATTTTTATACCCCATCCTCTCCTTTCCATAGCCCCCACCACCAGATTTCATGCATTCTGTCATATATGTTAAGGCCTATTCAGTCAAGTTAGTGTACTCAGACATCCCACAGTACAAGTTCATCCACTGGGGTCTAGTCAGCCTACCTAGAGTCTCTCCCTTAAAGAAGATCAACTCTCCTTCACTCAGCAGTAATCAGCTGTTAAGAAACTTAATTTTAAAAGCTCAAAGATTAGCCAGGTATGGTGGCATGCACCTTTAATCCCAGCATTGGGGAGGGAGAGGCAGGAGGTCTCTGTGAGATCAAGGCCAGTCTGGACATTAGGGAGACCGTATTAAAAAAAAAAAAAAAAGCTCAAAGATTAAAATATTGAGTGATAGATTATTTACAGAAATGCTCATCATGAGCATCTTTGTGTTATTAATGCCTCTTTATGGTATGATTTCATTTTTTCTACTGTCTAGAGGCTAACTCTACTGGACTTGCGCAAAGAATCTAACAGAAGTGATGTGGGCCAGCCTTGAGGCTACACTTCAGAAGACTTTAATGTAATCATTAATGTAATCATTTAATGTAATCATCATTTCTCTGAATCCTACCCAACCATCACATGACCACACCCAGACTAGAATACTGAAGATGACAGGCAGATAGAATAAAACCAAGGCACTCAGCTGTGGTCATCCTAGGTCAACTATCTCCCAGCTGTCATACAACTGCCATAGATACCTAAACAACCTAGTTAGATAACTGGCCAAACAATTTGAATTGAGTATTCCTTATTCTTCTTCTAAAACAGACAGAACTGAAAAAAATACTAATATATCAATAATTATCTACATTCCATCTTTACATATCTAGTAGAATCATATTCAAAAGATACTAAAAGCTAGTTGATTCTAATAATTTAGTTGAGGGAAATCCATATGAATAAGTTCTGAATTTTGATCTGTTTTAAAAATTATTTTACATTTATACAGCAAATTCTAAGTACTACAAATACTTATCTAAGTGGACTATAATTATTCATATATAAGATCCACATGTACTTGAAAATTTGATTATTTATTTATCTATTTTTTATTTATTTGAGTCTGCACCTCACCAGCCTTGGCTTGACTGGAACTTAGTATGCAATCAAGGTTGGCCTCATACATGGGATCCTTCTGCCACAGCCTCCAGAGTGCTGGCATTACAGGCATGGACCACCAAGACTGGCCAATTACTATTTTTAAGTAGTCTTTTCAATTAGAAGTATCTTCTACAATCTTCATTATTTATCAAATATGGAAGTATCCAGTGTTAAGTATATACAATGACCAGGATGAGTTCCAGATGTTGGGAGCATAGCAGATAACAAAGACCAGATGCCAATGGTATTGTTTATATTCTAGTATTAATGTAGCTAAATTTCCAAGCAAAACTTTTTGAAATTTCAACTCTAAATGAAAGTAAACTTAACTTTAAGGCTAAAACGTTTACTAATTCATCCTATTATTGCACACAAAAATAATAATTTTAATTGCGGAAAAAAAACCCTCCTTACTAATTTCCCAATGATCTTAATGAAAAACATCCTTAATTATTCCAAAAGTGTACATAAATGATGTAGACTCACATATTTTAAAGATAATATAACAAAGTAACATAATGTCCTGCTCAGAGTAATTAGGAGACTTTCTATGAAATCTAAATGAATTTCTTCTTGATAGCTCCAGTACTAAATGACTTTTTTTGAAATGTTCTTTAAAAAAAAATTCTGTAATTCTTACTCTAAGGTATTTAAATTTAAAAATCTATCCTTTTCAGCTGGGCATGGTGGCATACACCTTTAATCCCAACACTTGGGAGGCAGAGGCAGGTGGATCTTTGTGAGTTCTAGGACAGCCTGGTCTACATAGTGAGTTCTAGGACAGCTGGGGCTACAAGGAGACCCTGTCTCAAAAAAGACAAAAAAAATCCATCCTTTTCATAATTTATGTGATTTCCAACCTTACATAAAGGAAATCATGACTTTAAAGTAGCTTTCCAAGTTTGACAGTTTCCAAAAGTAAATACAAAGATAGCTTCTTACAGGTCCAACAGTTCTCTGCAGCATGTATAGAGCAGATAGGGAAGATCTTCCAAACAATGAATTCCACTAATGCAAATAAAAAGCATGAAAGAAATCAGACAGATGAACCTACTCTTCAGTTTGACATTCATAAAAGCACTGGGATTTGAGAGACATGTGACATCAATATGGTTGTAAATTCTAGTTTTCAATTTATAAGTAGTGGGTGAAAATGTAATTGTTTCATTAATGTATATTTCTATATGCTTGAAATATTGAGTAATTAAAAAACAGACTCACCTATCAATTACAATTTCTTTTTGTCTTAGAAGTCCTTCTTTTATTTTCAGCACTGATTCCCACTTACTAAAATCTTGAAAGCCAGAAGGTGAATAATTTTGGCGACATGATCCAGTTAAAACCTACATAAACAATTTTATACATTTAGTATACTACAGATGTCTAAAGGAAATATTTACATAGCACCTAAAATTTTCATAATGGTAATCATTAAAAAACAGAAAGCTCTCTGTTTTTTAAGACTATCTAAAATCACATTTACTAATATTGCTTATTAAACAATTTCAAACAAGTTCCAAAGTAATTATGCAAGTCTAATGAAGAACTGACAAAAATTTCAAAAGATCTAGGTATTAGTACACACTACATATAAAATCTTACACTTATTACCGTGTATAAATAGAAGCTTTCTGAAAATAGATTAATCATTACCCCAAGAAGGAGTAGGGATGTTTTCTCGCTCAAACACACAAACACTACCAGGAAGATTAATTAACACAAGAAAATAAATGTAGTATCTGTAGTACCCAGACTGAAAGTTGTATCATCATTTAATTACACTAAGTTTTCAGTCACAAATATTTTCTCAAAGTATAAAATATATCATAGAAAACTGAATTAGTAAGCATATAATTTTGATGACTATTCACCTCCATTATAAGTTATATAATCTAGCAAAGATATATTTAAACTTTAAGAAAGTTTTCAGACTTAAAACACATCAACAATAATAGAAATCAATATGGCAAGACTAATAAACAGAAAGAGGTCCATAAGAGAGATTAAAAAGAGGATTTAAGGGTAAGGGGGATAGTAGAACACATGTGATATGAAAGTCAAAGGGGAAATACTAGGTTGGAGAGAGTAGAGGGAGGATCAATCAAAGAAATAAAGAAATCTGGTACTTGGCAAGCTAATTAAAACATTAAAAAATAGTTTGGTTTGAATGAGGTACCCTGCATGGATGGATAAAGCAGCTCCCAGTAACCATACATTATTAAATAAAAATTCCAACACCTAAAGTGGTCTTCTGTCAACAAGCTGTTGGTCCAGGAGACCCCAATGTCCCCTAAAACAATACAGGCAATTGCCACTGCTGTTGATTGCCCACCAAAACTATATAGTAAAACCCTACTGCTGAAGACATCACATGCTCTGGTCACGGGGACATAGAGAATCAAACTGGAACTGAGCTGTAAGCATCCCCCCTCCTGACTAGCTGCAGGTGGAGAAGTAACATCCATAATCTAATTCAATTATGAACGCTGCATGAACACTACTGACTAGTCAAGCAAAATGTGCCCAGTTGTACAATAGCTGCAAGTCTGTTAAAGTGGGTAACCAACCACTTTTTTTTTTAAATCCGGTTTGGGGCCGAATCCAGAGGAGGCAATTCATATCTGTACTGTAAATTTGGTCAAAAGTCTATGTGCACCTATTATTGAAGCATTCAAGTACTTTCCTTATGGATGGTAACTTAGTACTGACCACATATTTTCCCCCTGTCCTCCCATTGCCCATCCGACTCTTTAGAATACCCTATAATTCAATAAGTAAGGAGCTATTTCCCAATATACAAAGGGAACTTCAAGACTTTGTTCCATCCATAAATAGCATTTTTGACTAGCTACTTCTTGTACAAATCAACCCTCCAAATACTACCTACCAGCCTATATTTAGTAGACAGAACTAGGACTGAAACAGAGGCATCAACAAAGAACACCTGCTCTTAAGCACAACACTGCCTCAACCTATGATCTAATTAAACTTTGAGAAAATTTTCAGATACTTAAAAGCACATTAACAATAATGAAAATCAGTATGGCAAGCCCCCCAAAAAACATACCATATCATCTGAAGCTGTTTCACTTCTTACATCAGGTGCCTCTTTTATAAGACAAGTAGTAGGTAATGGATGGCCATCTCTTCACAAAGTCATTAACACTACTCTTCACAAGTCACTGGCTAAGGTTTTTGGTTTTTTTTTTTTTTTCCCTTTACCATAGCTGACAATACCCTTTAGGGGAAGCCTTTGCTTATTCTGCTGTGCTTGGTTTTGTTTTAAACACTTACTGGCATCAAGAAAAGGAATGATTAAACAGACCGAACAAGGAGGGCTACAAGAAGAAGACAGTTGACACTACTTGGTTTTACAGCACTTGAACTACTGAAAACATAGACTTCTAAAGTGCTGCCAAATACTTTCATGAATATATGTGAAACAAAACAAAACTTTATTCTGATTTTTAACCCTTAATTTAAACCCTTTAAAAACAAAATGAATAAAAAAGTTATGAAACAAGCAAACAAGAATAAGCAAAAAAGGCCTTTCCCTGTAATTAAGAAGACAATCCCAGTACTCAGGAAGTTGAGGCAGGACAACTGCTGTTAAATTCAAGCTCAGCCTGGGCATAGTGAAACTCTGTCTCAAAACAAACTCCCTGGCATGTATGGTGGTACACACCTTTAATTCCAGCACTCAGGATGCAGAAGCAGGTGCATCTCTGTGAGTTTGAAGCTATCCTGGTCTACATAGCCACTTCCAGGCCAACCAGGGCTACATAGTGAGAGCCTGTCTCAAAAAACAAGAACAAAAAATTTTAAATCCCCCAATATTTAAAAAAAACTATATTCCAAGAACTAGACATGGTGGCACGCATCTTTAATCCCAGCACTCAGGAGGAAGAAGAGGGCAGATCTCTATGCGTTCCAGCCCAGCTGTGGCTACAGGGAGACCATGTTTCAAAGAGACAAAAAAAAAAAGTTCCATGTTAACATACTATTTAAAATCTTTTTAAAAGAAGAAATGTACTTAATATTGTTATTGTTCTTATTTATAAACTAAACAGAATATAAATTAAAATTCTAGCAGATATCTTTTAGAACTTGAGAAGCCAATTCTAAACTTTCTGTTGAAATGTTATAAATAACAGTACCTGATTCAAGAGTTATCTGACTTTATAATGCATCATTCCACAGTTTTCAAGAGAATGTAGTGTTAACAGACCAACCAGTGGAATAGAGTCACAGATAAACTGACACACAGAGATCAACTGATTTTCAACAAAGGAGCAAAGTCAATTAAATGAAGAATGGTTTGGTATTCCAAAGAAAGAGAGCAGAGGAAAGGGGAAGAGAGGGGGATTCAGAAGAATGAAAATATGTGTCCACAAAGCTCTGTAGGCAAATGTTTACTCAAAATCATTCTATATTAAAACCTCCAATGCCCATATGATCAATGGGAAAACAAATTGTGTTACATCCATAAAATGAAACACTGCTCAGAAAAAGCAACTGATACACACAACTAAAAGAATGAAACATGAGCTGGAGAGAAGGGTCAGCAGTTAAGAGCACTGGTTCTCTTGCAGAGGACACGGGTTCAATTCCCAGAGCCCACATGGCAGCTAACAACGGTCTGTAACTCCAATTCCAATGCCCTTTTCTGGCCTCTGCAAGCTTTGCACAATATGGGTACACTTACATACATGCAGGCAAGACATTCACACACATAAAATGAATGTTAAATGGATGAAACCCAAAGAAACACATTAAGCGAAAGAAGCCATCATTAGTGGTTTTATAGTATCTGATTCTATTCATATGACTTCTAGAAAAGCAAAAACTTCATAGACAATGTTTAGATCAGAGATTTCCAGGGCTGGGATAAAAGACATACCACAAAAAGGTAAAAGTTAACTTTGTGAGTGATGAAAATATTGTATAACACAACTCTTATGGTAACATAACTCAGTACATTTTCCAAACTCAAAGTATTCCTTCTTAAAGGTTACATTTCACTGAATTTAAATTATATCTTAACTATCCTATTAAATTGGGTTTATTTGTCAACAATAACCCAATAAAACTTATTTTTCTAAATGTAATTTCAAGTAAATGTTTACATATATTCCATCAGGGAACAGTGAAAGTAAAAGGAACTTGTCATACTAATTTTTAAACTACCCAAATGGGTTTAAACAAAGAAATGATCAATTGCAGAAATGTATACAGTGGAATAATTACACAGCAAAAATCAGACTATTATACTACATAATCTGGATGAAAATCATAGACATTATGCTAAGCAAAAGAATAACAAAACTGGGATCCCTTAGAGGGATGGCTCAGCAATTAAGAGCACTGACTGCCCTTGCAGAGGACCTGGGTTCAATTCCCAACACCCACATGGCCGCTAACAACCACCCATAACTCCACTTCCAGGGGATCCGACATCTTCTTCTGACCTCCACAGGCATTGCATGACATGGGTATACCCACCTACATGCAGGCATTACACTCATAGACATAAAATAAAAATAACATAAAATATATATTTAAAAAAATAGAACCATCAACTAAAGGAACACTTAGATACTCCAATGTGCACTACAGATGACAAATGAAATGCCCAAGCCATAATTTCCTTTTTTTGCCATTACTTTGGTGCTGGTCTATACCTGTAATAGCCACGAAATAAAAATCCAGATGAAGTAAATAACCTTCACCCAACAAAATGCAAGAACAGATTTAATAACAAGTTGGCTCTTAAGAGTTACCAGCTTTCTATGAGAACAAACATTTTTTTAAATAAAGTAGA